CTTCATCAGCTGGTTAACTGGTTATTGGACCTCGTTATCTCTCAGCCTGAGGCGGTTAAACTGCCTCCCTGTGTCAGTCCGTTTGTTTTGATAGCTGACGCTGCGCTGTCTATGAACATTTAACGCGTCTTCCACAGAGACGTCTTCAGACTCGTGATGAAGCGGTGAGTGTTTAATAAAGGTGGAGGTTTTGGTCTCTAAAATGAGGAAGAAGAGCCCAACAAACGACGCTGTTCTTCACATTACCACGTGACAAAGCGGGGCTCGATGTAAAGTAGCTACACCGATTCATTTAAAGGTGAGCAGAGCAGATGAACCAGCCTGGACTGAACCTCACAGAGAAAGTCGGGGTAGCGCGGTTTGTCGTTCCTAAATAAGGCGGGGGGTGTTTGCCGTGTCGGACTCCGCGAGAGGAGAGCTCGTGCTGGAGTACAGAGGAGACCCGATCAGTGCGGAGGAAAGTCGAAGAAGAAGAGTTTATCACAGCGCCATGAAAGGATTCATGATCGACTTCATCTGGCAGGAAAACCCCGGATCTGAGACCAGACTTCCTTCATCTCTCTCTCTTCATCCCTTCATCTCACTCGCATCTTCATCTCTCTCTCTCCATCCCTTGATCTCTCTCTCTCCATCCCTTCATCTCTCTCTCTCCATCCCTTCATCTCTCTCTTCATCCCTTCATCTCTCTCACCCCTTCATCTCTAGCTTCATCTTCATACCTCTTCATCTCTCATCTCTCTTCTCCCTCATCTCTCTTCATCCCTCATCCCTCTCTTCACCCCTTTCATCTCTCTCTTCATCCTTCATCCCTCTCTTCATCCCATACTCATCGCTCGCCGTTTACTCTGAGATCCTCTTAATCGGGTCTAATGATAACGATGTTTTTATCAGAAAAACGACTTGGCTGGCTTTTATAACGCGCCTTATTCAGTCGTGTTCAGTCTTTTTCAGCTTTTGTCTGACGTGATTTTGAAGGGCCACCGCATCAGAACCGCCCAAGGTGCCAGTCTAATTCTGAAGTTATTCAGATTATGACCTCCTGACCCTCCTGATCCTGAACCACAGGTGGATTTAGTTCGCATCATCTCTAAATTAATAGCATTTCCATTATCCAGCTCTATTTTTCACATTTCCTATTCTGTTTTATGTTTGACATTTATGGGTCATTCTACAGAAACGTCCATTTTTGTGTCCCTAGCAGTTACAGATATATTACACTTCAAAACATGTTAGAGTTACAATTTTTTTTACATTTTCAAATAAAACAATAAGTTATTATAACAATATACCTTCTTGATCCATCAGTTTAGCAATATTGATTTTTAAATCAATTATCTAGAATTCCAAGCACCACAGAAGTGCTGGTCCCCACAGTCATGTGGGTAAAGGGTGGGAAATATTTGAGAAAAACATTTTTCTGCATTTTAATTACAATAATCTATACATGACTATGGCATATATAAATTAAATGACAAAGAAAACAAATGCTACATAAATATTATAAAATATATAATGAAAGTTATTGTCCCGAGGAGTCGTGTCACTGGGGTTACCACATCTCATTTTGAATAAAAATCACATGATGACATCACTTCACTTCCTTTTACCTATTTTCTGAGGATCAATGAAAAAATCACATGTTAAGTCCACTGTGTCTTTTCAGTTATCAGAAATTTTCTCATTTAGCTCATGATTTCATATGAAGCTTTCAGTTTACGTCACTGGTGTGACCTACTTTATTCTTAGGTAAGTGTAAAAAAAAAGAATACAAATGGATTTACATAACATATTTTAGTGGATATTCCATGATTGACAACATGTGTTTTGATGCTCTGTAGCAGCCATTTTGTAAAATGCATTTTTCATTAAAAATGTCTCTGGTGTTACCTTTCTATGTGTAACACCAATGAGGACTGGACACCAGTGACACCTGTGGATAGATAGAAAAGTGGACGTTTCTGTAGAATGACCCTTACACATTTTGTGCTTTGTAGTCATTCTTCCTGTCATTACTTAAGAGGTAGAAGAAATAATCTTAGTCTAATAATGATAATATAAGCAAAATGACAGTGACACTGTTATGGAGTGAAATAACTGCAAATAATGTAATGTTTGCTTTTATTAGACTTTTTAATTCTACAACTACACAAATAAAATATTACCTTTTGTCACTAAATAACTGTCTTCTGTTTGTTGAAATTCAGTATTGATGCTGCAAGGGATGACGGCACTCATTTGTGCCTTTTTGCTTTAAGAGACACTGGGAGAGGAGATTACGTATGATTATGGAGATGGTGATTGTCCCTGGAGGAGTGAAGTAAGAATGTCACTTCTTGTACCAGTGCTGGTTAATTAGATTCCAAATAGTGAGTGTATTTTTTTTACATCATATCCGTGTAAAAGAAAGCTTGAGATTAAAGAAGACTGTTATTCTCAGTTTATGTAGGCTATCTAGGGATGATCAGAACAGTGCCAGTCTGATAGTACAGTACTGCTCAAAGGATTTCCCTTCTACTTTTATGTTTAATAGTGACTGTTTTGCTGATTTCAGGTGACAAAAAGTGGAATGGAAGCAGACAACAATCATCTGGAGTCAGCTGGTGCCTCTGGAGATGATCAACATTGCACCCAGCATTCACAGCACAAATCTGCTTTTGGCATCCAGGTAAGCAAACTGCTTTAATTCATGCATGTTTCACATAGTTAATGCTGAGTCTACACAATATACAATGTAGTCAGCCAGTGTAGGCAAAGGAGTGATGCCTGTTCATTAACCTCAGACTTTTATTCAGTGCTGCTCCTTAAACCTGCTTTGCATGTATTCTTTCCTTCTGCTTTTTTCATGTGGACTCTGCACATCTACCTCATCTCCTTCACCTATGACACCTCTGAGATGCTGTTCCTTGGTCAGACTGTGCCTTTGCTAACCTGTTGAGCTTTTCTCATGCAGACTATGCTCAGCTGAGCCATCCATCTCATGATGCTGCGCCGTTTGCTGTTCAGTTTCTAAACCTAACTTCATTTATTCCTTTACCAGGGTTATCTCAGTACTGTTACAAGATGCCTTCTCTCCACTGCATTACTGCAATACGGTGCCTTGTCTGTGCTGTTCATGTCATATTCCTGGTTTTGTGCACTGTAACGTTTTTGTCTTTTTCAGATCCCCCTCAGCAGTGCTACAAAATGCCCTCTTGTCTAACAACTCAGCAATGATACCAATGTGATGCTGCGCCTCAGATACATTGTACGGTTACTTATCATGATTGAATTTACTCCATGTACTTCTTTTGTAGTGTCTCATTAATGGTTCTGAGGAACGTCTCATCTTGCCCCTTAGAGACAGTACCAAGCAATCATGTGCATCAGCTACACTCACAGTGTTTTACTATTGCTGTTTTTTTACTCCAGTTCCTTCCATTCTAAGGTGTCTGTGATGCTCCTGCATGCCATCTCATATCGCTCATATCACTCCTCAGCTGTAACGCTGCACCTTCACTGTGCTCTGAGTCTACTAACACTAATCTCATTTCCTCCAACTCTTTCTTTAACACTGCTGCACTGAGGTTCTTTCCTCTTGCTTTTTCTGTGTCACTGTTGCTCTTCCACAGCTCCATTTCATTTAGTATCATGCCAATATTAGAAATCCTTTCTGTAAATTCCTCCTTTTTAGGACCAGCGTCTACAGCAGCAAGCTCTTTCACTGCTGTCAGTTTACTGCTCTTGGCCTGCTGAGTTATTGGCTTTAGACCTAAATTCTGTAAAGCTGCCATGCAGTGTTTTGTAAAAGTGCATTCACTGTCCACCCTAAGCCATCTTTGTGTTTTCAGTCTCACAACCCTCATTAGCAGCACTGTAATTCCACCTTTAACAAACAGGCTTGTAACTTATAACAACCTCCTCTTTAGCTGGATCCAGGATCCTGGAAAGCTCAACATTTAAGTCAATGGGGGGGGGTTGTTTATTTGGAGTAAAGCAGAAGCCATCAAGCTAAAGTTATCAGAGTTTTGTGCCTTTTTTATCTTCTGCAACCTTTTCTTGTATTACAGTATACTTTAAAATATTATCATTTTAATCTAGAAATTGTTTGCTTGGTGTGTTTAGCCTAAAATACTTTCTACAACTTGGCAATGATTAGTTTAGTGGGGTTATTAGTGACTGTTGTGTCCATTTCAGGTGACAAACAGTGGAGTGGAAGGAGACGGTAATCGTCTGGAGTCAGAAGGTGCCTCTAGAGATGATCACCTTTGCACTCAGCATTCACAGCACAAATCTACTTTCTGCAGTCAGGTATGAAACTGCTTATTTTCTCACATTTTCACATGGTAAATGTCAAGTCCCCACAGTGTAATCTACCAGTATTGGCAAAAGATTAATATCAGTCAGTGGTGCCCCTCCCCCACTGAGTCCCCACACATCTTTTAAAATAAATGCTTTACACCAAGTCCTCACAACTCACCTACTTTAAAATATTATCATTTTAATCTAGAAATATCTTGTTTGCTTGGTGTGTTTAGCCTAAAAATACTTTCTACAACTTGGCAATTATTAGCTTAGTTGCATTATGTCAACATGCTTTAACTTTTGGGCTTATTGGTTGTTGTTTTGTCCATTTCAGGTGAAAAAAAAGTGGAATGGAAGGAAACGGCCATCATCTGGAGTCAGAAGGTGCCTCTAGAGATGATCACCACTGCACCCAGCATTCACAGCACGAGTCTACTTTCTCCAGTCAGGTATGAAACTGCTCATTTTCATATATTTTTAACATGGTAATTGTTAAGTCCCCACAATGTACAGTATAGTCTACCAGTTTTGGCAAAAGATTCATTTTAATCGATACATGAAGTGGTGCCCCTCCCCCACTGAGTCCCCACGATTTAAAAAGCCTTACACAAAATGCTGTAAATAAACAGCATCTTTATGTTTATTTTTGTTTAGGATCATTTTTTACTTTCTACACGTTTATGCTTTTCGGCCCGGCTTTAGTTGCTACAACACTTACACTTTTGGGCTTCATTTTGACTTAGGGTTGTTTTCAGTGACAAGAAGTGTAAAGCAAGATGGAAGTCAATCAAAAAGTCGATTACATTGGGCAAAAGCTGTCCATTACTTCGAAATCCTCTTCATCAGTGGTAAAGTTAGTGATTTTTCTTATTGTTTCAACCGCATTCTTTATACTGAGCTGAAGTCCCATCTTTTCACTCTGTTCTTTAACCTTCCTTATTCCTGATTTTCTGCTATGAGTGTCATGTCATCCGCATATCGAAGGTTATTGATGTGTCTTCCACCAGTCTTGAATCCTTGATCATTTTCCTCTAGTTCTGCTTCTCTCATTATATGTTCAACATACAGGTTGAACAGGTATGGTGACAGAATGTAGCCTTGTCTAACTCCTTTGTTGATCAGTGTAAAGGTTCCTCAATAGAATGATGAGATGTTCTTGTATTCACATCTTCCTAAGGACATTCCATACTTTTGTGTGGTCAACACAGTTGAAGGCTTTGCTGCAGTCAAAAAAGTACATGTTGATATCCTTGGCTTTTTCCATAATCTAGCATACATGACCAAAGATGATGTTTGATCTTTGCTTCATCAGTTATGACCTGTCCATTGAACTTCCTTTACTATACCAAGTCAAGGTTGAAGTTTAATTCTGAGCTCACATATATTCTAGAAAACAGTCCTTGTTTCTCCATGTTTGTTTTCATCTTCAATATTTTTACAGATGTTGTTGTAGTATTAGTCCTTGTCCTTCCTGGGATTCACAGTTTAATCCCTTAAAAGATCTTTATCCTTCGTGATTTTGGCCTCTTTTCTCTTTCTTTGCAAACTGAATTAGTTGTCATCCACTTTGATTCCTTTCTCCTTTTCATTCTTCCGAAGTTTTTCTCTAATTTGTCTTTGATGACCTCTTGGAGTTCCATCTATAGCTCCTCTGCTTCTCTGTCAGTAATGTATATTATCTGAAATCGGTTTCTGATGTTTTCTTTGAAGACAGGTAGATTTTTTTTCTCAGCTTCATTTGGAGCTTGCACATTAGAAGTTCGCTGCCTGTTCCACAATCAGCTCCAGGCTGTGTCTTTACACCTAAAATGGTGACTTTTCATCTCTTGGATGCCGTCTGGTGATGTCCAGGTGTAAAGATGTTGTTTCGGTTGGTTGAAGAATGTGCTAGTAATGAAAAAGTCATTGTACTTGCAAAAGCTGATTAGTTGTTCTTTGGCTTTGTTCCTGTTTCCAACACTGTGTTATCCCACTGTATTTCCCTCATCCTGATTTCTGACTTTGGCATTCCAGTCTCCGATCACCAGCAGGATATCTTATTTAAAGGTCTTGTCAATTTTAGCCTGAGCTCCATCATAAAACTTTTTTCTATTTCTTCTTCATTGGTGTCGGAAACGGAAAATGTAATACAGAACAAATGTCGTTTGCACAGTTTGCAGCCTTGGTTTTATTTATTTTCATGAATTAAGTTCAAACAGAAAAATGTTTTATTTCATTGTTCAGTTTACTTGATGCTACTCTAAAAAAAGATGGTTAACAGAGGTTCTGCATAGAACCATGAACACAAACTGAATTTAATGCTTAAACGTTTCTTTGCATGGTGAAATGGTTCTTCAGTTTGGAAAATGTGTTGTATATGGTTCTGTTAATAAACCTTTTTGAAATGGTTCTATGTAGCACCAAAATAGTTTTGTTGTTACAAGCTTGACCTCATGACAGTTGAAGAACCGTTTTTGTACTATACAGAACCATGTTCAAAAGGGTTCTTTTATAGAATCATACAACACATTCTCAATCAGTCTGAAGAACTATTTCATCACGGTTCATAGTTCTGTACAGAACAATAAACGATTTCACCTTGGTTTATGGTTCTATATAGAACTATTGTCTTTGCTAAAGAGCTCTTGCAGAACCATCTTTTAGTGCTTATTTATTTATTTATTTATTTGTTTATTTATTTGATTAGCAGCTTAAATATTTAGTCCTGTGAATGTTGTCACGTAAATGTTGTCAAGATCCGTCTCTGACCAACTCTGAATGTGGTCCTGTAAGCCTGGACATGTTTATACCTGGCTTTTCATGTGTTGAAGTGAAATCTGAGCATGATCCGATCACCACAAACGCATGTTAATGCAGAGTGTAAACAGGCCCTAAGTGTCTAAAGCAGGGGTGTCCAGTCTTATTAATAGAGGGCCGGTGTGGCTGCAGGTTTTCACTCCAACAAAGCAGGAGGTCACCTGATGAACTGTTTGAAGACTAAGACCAGCTGATTAAACAAGTAGAATCAAGTGTGCTTCAGCTTGTTTGGAGTGAAAACCTGCAGCCACACCAGCCCTTTGTGGATGTGATTGGACACCCCTGGACTAAAGGCTTCGCTGTTTCTGTAGCACACAAGAAGGCAATTTATGTTTTATTCACATGGTTGTTCGCTTCTGAGAACTAGATTAGAACTTCTATTTATAACGGGTTTATTCATTTTCAGTATTTTGCTGTTAGATATTATTGTTATATGCTCATTATTAAGTGATTTATCATTATAGTTTGGATATTGATTCATTTGCAGGATTGCTCTAGGCTGGTTAACCGTCTGCTCCTGTGTGTGACACTGAAAATTAGCCCCACGCCATAGAACTCACAGCTCAGAGTAACTCTCTCTCTCTCTCTCTCTCTCTCTCCACTGTAGATATGTCTCTGATGCTCCACCATCACTGCTGGTTTGGGATTTACTTTTGAGCTGCTTCCTCTTAACAATATAAGTAGAGTCAAATGACTCATTTTCTGTTTCTAAATGACATGAAATTTTAAACTTTCAAGGGACGGTGAGGCAGCAGACTGGAAAATTGGGTTAAATGAACTAAGAATATATGAAAGGTACATTATTATATATAGATTATTTGAATATAAATGATATTATTATTTGATGGCTGCTGATGAGGCTGCATATAATGCTGGTGTAGCATCGGCCCAAACAAGGACTGAACCCCTTTTGTACTTTTTAGCAGCCCGAAGCGTTACTACTGCACCCCCCACCCCCCAGAGGCGCAGGTGTAGCAGCATTGACTGATCCCTTACAAAATCTGTCCTCCTCTTCACTTTTTACAAAGACTTATAGGCTATAAGTTCATACATTACAGTAACTCACTATGCAAATACTTTTTATCATGGTTATAAATCATATAGAGATCTCATAAGGTACTAATCTTACACCCCATCATCCCCCATGCTTTTCATCATAACAATGTATTTGTCCTTTTCTGATGTGGAAAACAATCTACAGGTGAACGTGTTGTAGATAATCTGTGGTCCTGGTTAAGAGTGATGATTCATTTTGGGATTTGTGTTAAAATCTTTACACTGTCATCACTGTTTTTAGCTCATGTGCTCAGTGTTTATGTAATAACATATTGATATGATTAAGGCTTGTAAGTCACCTTTTTTTTAAAGGATTTTAAAGACCGTCACTGCTTCTTATGTATATATGCACAGTGTGAACAATTTGAAGCAGAGCATTAAAAAGTACTTCATTATTTTTGTAGACCTCAAAGTGGTGAATTATTCCTTCTTTATCACTGTTTGGTTAATGATGAAATAATTGGTGAATACTAGGGGTGGGAATCTCTAGACACCTCACGATTCGGTTAGATTACGATTCAGAGGGCTGCGATGCGATTATAAAACGATTAAAACTTTTTTTCTATACAGGATTTCTATTTTCTCACTGTGTGAGGACTTAGTACTTTTAAAGCAAATTATTTGTAATGATCCATAATGAATTTACTTCCAATATCGTTTATTAATAAATCAAATGGAAGTGATGTGGAAAGTGACCTGGAAGGCTCTCATTCACTGCTCTTGTTTAGAGCACATGAGACGGTGAAGCCACTCATCTGCGATAAAATGCGCTGTTACGGTGATGTAAGATCCAGTGGCAAAGGGTGTCCACGCAGCATGTTACAGCCGTCCTACCTGTTTTCATTTATATATATTTTTTTTATTTTGTAACTTCGGTTTTGGTCTTGACGTAGAGTGTGGGGGGATCGCTGTGTCAGTAAAATATTTTCGAGACGGGGCGCTGTATCTCGGCTCCAAAGTGTGCGACATAGCGCGAAAGCCCTGGTTCTCAAAGACTGAGAACTGGTGTGCAGACTGTAGGTCACATAGCAGCGAAGTCTCACCTCGCTAGTAGCGAACAAAAGGGCAAAAAGATTTAAGACAAACATTTGGAGACGAATGGGCTTATTTGCATTTATAAGCACTGCAGTTGGTTTCCTGGAACGTTAAATCTGCAATGAGAGACTGTCAAACACTAAAAAGATGCGAAGATAAAGCGCTTCTTTCAAATTTTCCGGTCCACCTTAAATGATGCCGCATTTACTTCAGGCAGAATTTAAGGTAGAACGGGAAAATTCGAACAAGAAGCTGGAGAATAAGAAGCGACTTCAGCCTTGGAAAACAGTTGAATGTTGAGAGACATTTTACAACAAGCTGCTCTACTTTTGAGGAAAAGTTTTCTGGCGGCGACGGGAGGAAAGCAGCTATAGCTAAAGCTTAAGACACAGCAAGTAAGTGTGTGCTTTCATTTATATTGTTTAGCCTATACTAGGACATTAACACATACTGAGACATCCTGGACATTTAATGTTGTGGCTTCTAAGGTGGTTTGATTTTTTTTGAATGGACAAAATGTCTCTTCTAATCATTTGGGTTGTGACTCCTGACCTAACCTGGCTTTAATGCAGAGGGTGCCGGTCGGATTTCTCGCTCATCCATGTGTGTTTTTGTTATGTGCCGCCACAGAGTGTCCGGGCGCTGCATTTCCGCACGTCCACGTTCCGCCTATTGCGTTCCGTCAACATTACGTTATAAATTATATATGTAGATAATCGATGTTTTATGCATATAATGCATGAATGAATATACATTCTTAGAATATAATGCATGAGGTGTTAAAAAGGCAGATCCACAGTGAGGTCAGACAGAGCCTTCCCTAAAAATCTTTACTTTTCTTTACCTCAAAAAAAAAACCCTTTCTTTACCTCAGAATTGAATATAAGTGCTAAAGCACACTCCTTGTAAGTGTAGCTTATGTGTACTCTAGTGTGTTTGCTTGTAGCTGACATATTACCTTGCAGCTAGTGCGTTAGCTCATTGTTGGCGGGTTAGCTTGTGGCTAACATAAGCTCATGGCTAGCAGTTTAGGTGAGTAATTTAGATTAATTTGGATAGTTTTCCAATTAAAGTTAGTTTTAAATTGTTTAGTGTTAAATAAAACACTAATAAACTAATAAAGATACACTAATTATGGTTCTTGGTTTCCTAATGAAGACTGAAAATGTTAAATGTTATTTAACTGTGTAGAGTTAAACGCCTTTATGATGATCTCTTATGATACACGTATACAGTCCTCTCAAGTTTTAACTACCAAAGAACCATATTTGATTAGATTGAAATCATGTTTTTCTGTTTATTCAGAACAGATTGCTCGTCTCTGTCACTAGAAACTAGAAGAAAACAGTTCAACTATCTGGTGCTGTGTTTGTTAAGCTAAGACAATAAATAAGCTGCAAAAATATATTTCCAACTTTTATTTATTCGTTTGATTTTGATTCACAAATAAATATTCATGATGACTCATGATGTATTACATGTATGAATGAATGATTACTCACACATTAAACAATGCTATTTCATGGACCCTTATTGTAAAGTGTTACTGGTTTATCTGTAAATTCATTTACATAAACTTTAAACCTAGTTAAAAAATTATAAGTTACATTTAAACCTTCATTTTTATTCTGGATTATTTTTAAAGTAAACCTAGTTTACATTTAATCCTGTTGCTTCATTACTTTAAACACTGATTTAAATTTTGTTTAGAGATTAAATTTAAACTTTCTCTTGCTCTCAGAGTAAAACTATATCAAAATATATAAATAGTTCCCACCCCTAGTATTCACCAATTATTTCATCATTAACCAAACAGTGACAAAGAAGGAATTTTATATAGTTTTATATAAACTATATAAAACTATATGAAATACTCCAGGTTTATTTGATTTAAAACTGAATTTAGATGGTGATTCATTCTGTTGGTTATTATGAGTAAAAAAGGCGGCCATGTTTTTTATTGATCCTCTGGGATTCATGCTGAGTGCTAAAACTCTGATACACAGCAAGACAGGCTTTATTTTTAACGACAAATTAAGTTGCACATTTAATATCTGATATTTTTAATACTCAAAATCAATGGAAACAAAGACAGAGCTAAATATTATTAATTTCTAAATAATATTTTTCACATTTATTATCTTTTTATTATTTATCTGAAATGTGTTTTAGGGCCTGTTTGTGTTTTTCCACCCCTCCCCCACTCTCTCAGCTCTCTGCACATCTAGCGCTTAGCCTCAGTTTTATAAGTGTGACTGCATTTAGCATTTTTTATGTGTACATAGCTGTGAATTTCTGATTATCAGCACTAAACTGAGAGTCTTTAATCAGACTCTGTTTGAGACATGAGGGAAAGTTCTAGATTGGTACACATGCAGGACATAAACGCAGGATCTGGACGGTGGGTTTCTGAACTGGATTACTATCTGAAATCTCCACAGAGTCTCTCTGGACACACAGGGTCAGTCCTGATGGTCAGCGTGATGTGAGAATTGCGTTGCTGTTTTAACCCTTTGTTGGAATATGAAGCAGAGCAGAGCAATAATATCAGGATTTTGGGTGATTTTCTGAGCCAAATTACTCACTGATGCTGACATCATAGCTCGATGACGTCACGCTAGCTAGTTTGGGCCGGGTCTGCTGAATGGTCTGATATGTTTCATGTCTGCAGCTTCATCTATGTTTAAAGTTAAGTGGTGCAGCTCCAATCGATTTAAAATATAATCTAGATTATCAATTCTAAGGTGAAGCCATTTCTTCTGACTGTATGTTTTCAGAGATTCTGATGATTTTAGCGTTTGTGAAAAAGCTATTTTAGCTGGAACTCAGCTGCTCCATCAGCTTCACTACAGTCATTCCAAAAGCAGAGATGACCGCGTTTGGTCAGTGAGGTTTTGTCAACAGTGAAAGTTCACAAAAGTGAATAGAGGGTGAATAAAATACTTCTGCCGTCCGCAAAACCGGGTTTGGTGTGCAAGATGCTGTCAGTTATACACAAGCTTGAATTAATTTACTGTCTTCTGAATAAACTGCGTGTGTAACATTGACATTCTGTCAAAAGATGCATGTGAGTTTGGAAAATAAGTATGGAATAATATAGAATTTCAAAAAATGTTGGGAATTGCCCTGTCGACCACCACCTCAGACCATCTAAAGTCAAATCCACCCCCCACCCCCTGCTGGCCAAAGCTGATATAACATGCTATGTGTTAGTCTTTATTTTTTAATACAGTTCTGATTTTTTAGGCTTTGATGGCTGAAAGTGATCTTAGAAAAACATTTGGCTGTTTTTAGTTTGTTATTCAGGCAGTGAAAATAAATAAAGTGGAACTTAAACTCATTTTTTTTACTCATATTACCCTTCAGGGCCTCTGTATTTATGTTCCCAAAGATAGCATTAATGTAATGTATTCTACATTTGCTGGGGTGTTACCAGTAATTTAATTTTACACACATGAAATAATTTTAATAAACACACTTTGCAGTGATGACATATTACTATAAATCTTACCTTTCACTGTGAGAGTAACAGGATTGCTGAGTTGTGATGATGAGGGTCTGTTATCTCTCTCTCCTCTACACCAGTACTGACCCTGATCCTGATCTGCTGCTGATCTGATGGTGAAGGTGTTTGTCTGAGACTGATTGACTGCAGTGCTACTGTTGCCTTTATACCACTGATATCTCCAGTTACTGAAAGACTCTATCTCACACTTCAGAGTGACTGACTCTCCAGTGAACACAGGACTCCATTTGGGCTCTACAGTCAGTGTAGCTGTGGGTAAAGCTGTGGGAACAGATGAGAGAGAAGGTTGGTGTTGTGTATCTACACATTGCTTTCACTTCATGTTGGTGATTAACGTATCTGACGTGTCTGAAACCACTTATGTTGCTCAGGATAAACTCCACAGTGTGGCCCAGTTTAATTTACAGACAGTGTGTTTATTACAGTAGCTTTGCTCAGATCAGTCATATCAAATGTTCCCTGTGTGCATCTCTGCTTGTCTTAGAGATAAAGGCAGGGGCAGCACCAGAGCTTTGTTTACAGGGGTGCTGAAACATTTTGAGGGGGTGCTACACCTACAGCTGGAGGGAGAGGGGGGCATAGCGGGAGGTC